GAGTCTGACGCGCTCAGCCTCAGGAGGTACCAAACCGCGCGAATTCTGCACGCCTCGCTGCACCGCTGGCTTGACTGAATCAGGCAGCAGCAGGCTGCTGCTGCTGCCACAGCAGCAGTCTGCTGCGGCCCTAATACGCAAGTTGATGACTAGCAGCACTGCCGGGGGCATTCGAGCCGCCACAGCCGGTGTGCGGCTGTGCACTGCCACCTGCCCGCGGCTACGCACAATGTGCGCTCGCATTGGATGAGCCCTGCTGATGGACCTGCGTCGCCTAGCTGCACGAGAGCAATGCCGCAGGCAGTGGCCGTGGCATACACTGCGAGCACACTTGGTGCAGCTGCGAGGTGCAGCAAGAGCACGTCGTTCCTGCCTCTGATGCCACTCTCGCGGCTTGCAGCGCGTCACTCGCGCATGCTCTCCAGGAGCTATGGCGGGCGCGTGTGTGGGGCTGTAGCCTGTGTTTGGCCGGTTCTGACCCGTTTACTATCAGTATCATGTCCGGGCCACAAAAAATCGCACACGGGTAGCGGCTCAGGGGCCCAGTAAGTCGCGGAATCGCCAAATGTCACAACCTGCGCCACCCAGGGCTGGACCTAGTCGGTTCACCTTTTGGGAGCGAGACTGAGAGGCCCGACCCCGAGAGGCGGGCGGGCGCTCGAGGGCGGGCGCCGATGCGGTGGGAGGCCATCGAGGGACGAGGCACGAGGGAGGCTGCAGGGCCGGTGCGTGCAGCCGGCTTCATTTCGTAATGCGGTTTCTCTTTTTTGTTCACCACTAATCAATCAACAAAGACACCCTGGCGGAAAAAGGGCGCAAAAAGAGCGGCGCACCTGTAAAAAAGAAAACATCGACCCGTCTCCGCCCGCCGCGCCGATGGCAAACGAGCCCGCCGGCTCGCCTTCTTGCGCCACCTCTCGCGCAAAGCCGCTCACGCCGCGCATACTCAGCCATCGGCGCGACATCACTCCCGCGCAGGCACCTCGCGATGGGTCGGCGCACTCGTGCGGCTCAATGCGGACCTACGGAGCGACTCCGCCGCGGCCCGGCGCTGCCCATGGCAGCAACGGGTGCCGCCCCACCACCCGCCTGCCTCTGCCTCTCTCAGCCATGCGACCCCTCCGCCAATGCACACCTCGAACGCGACGTCAGATCCCGCTGTGACTGGCAACATTCGCGGCGATGAGGCCTCCGCCAGCATGCGCATTCTCATGCTGGGGGTGAGCACTGGTCAAAACAATTGAGTTTGCACTATCGTTTGCAGCAAATTGCGCTGCAAATGCGCTGCCAACGAGATACTTTATGGATTTGGAGTGACAGTATGGATTCCGGGTGACACAGGTTGGCCGGTTGACTGGTTGGTTGCTGCGCGGTTGGTTGGCGGATTGGTTGTGGCGGGGATTCAATCAAGTTACTTCCGAGAATTCGACAGGGAACCCGCCCCCAGCGTGTGCTTTCGCTAGGCCGGCGGCATTGCGGCGTAGGACCAGCCTCGGCGGCTTCACGCCTCGGCCTCGCTCGGCGAGGCGGCGCCGCCAGCGCGCCAGGTCGGCCTCCCCGTTCGCCTTGAAGCGCACCATCCGCTCGCGCCGCCCAGCGGCCGCCGACTGGTTGGTCGCCTTCCACTGCCGCACGCGCGTCGCGTCAACGGGGAGCGTCGGGCCACGAGCGCCATAAGGGGTTGGGGACATTCTCCCATGCACACCGAGCGCTCCGGGGGCCAAACCCACCTCCGTACACGATCCCTTTTCATAAGCTCCGCGCACCACACCCCGCCCGCCGCTGCCTCGCCTACTGCATGCAGGAGCGAGACGCTGCCCGCCGCGTTTGGCTCGTTTGGGTCTGCCCACGCATCGAGCAGGAGGGCCACCGTATGCCGCGCGCCTCGAAAACTGTATAGCTGGGCGACGGCAGTCGGCAGCGTCGACCGGCGGCAGCGGCCGTGTGGACGCGAGCGAGCGAGCGACGGTGAGCGGTGGGTCGGAGGGTGCGTGGATGCGGCGAAAGGGGCCGCCGGAAAGGGGCCGTTGGGCGCGCCCCGGATCCCTCGCCGAACAGCGGCAGGCAGCGAGTTCTGGGGGGGCTTGGGGTGACGCGTGCGCTGGGCGGCGACGTGGGCGCGCGCTGGTGCGGCGCGCAGGCCGTTGAGAGGCTGATGCTGGGGTCGGCAGGCTGTGTACTGTGCGGGAGAGGCGGCGGGGTGAGTCTGGGGCGACCCCGGTAGTCGATGCGTCATGCGAGGGCGCCTTGGCGGTCTGGCGAGCGTTGGGAGGCAGGACTGCTCTGACCAGCCACCCACGCGCCACGGCGCCCTGACAACTAGCCAGAACCGGTGCACCCCCCTGAGTCAGTCTCGCTGGCGGACGGGTGGACGGGGGAGAACACAACGAAGGGCCGTCCGAAACACAAAAAGGAGGGACGTACGGACGTCCATCACACTGGGATGAGATCGGGAGATATGTCAGATCTGCCGAATATCTCCCGACTCCAGACAGCCGCCCACAGGAGCGCCGCCTCAAATGTCAAAACGGAGGGTGAGGGCTCACGTGGTCGGCTCTGTCGAGCCATGCGGCTAGCTCCAGCCGCAGCCCCACCCGGCCGCAGGCCGAGAGAAGACTAATCCTTGGGGGAGCACAACCTGTCCGTGGACGCGTAGAGACTCGTAGAGTCCTCTCGACACTCGAGGGAGCTCTTCTGCAGCTCTTGACGTCACACCACACCCCTTCCCCTCTCTCGCTCACACAGGGACCCCCAACTCTGACGACTCTCAGTCTCAATCTCTCTAGAGCTCTATCTCTCCTCTCCCCCCCTCCAAGTGCGCTTGGGCCGCGCTCTCGCAGTGGACCATCGAGTGCTCGATGACTGTCCGGAGAGGCGGCGCAGCTACGGGATAGTGCGCACAGCTCCTGCTGCAACGCGCGCGCGGTGGGGAGGAGAGGGCGAGCCCTTGAGCTCACCGCCCGGCTCGCCAGGCGCGCCTAACGATCCAAGCACCACATCCTCTCAGAGCGAGCCGCCGCCCACTCTCCCCCGCACGGGGCGGGGGCGGCGCGCCGTGGGTGAGCAGCTGTAGCAGGTGAAGCAGCGTCTGCGCCATCAGGTAGCGGCCGGCGTTGAGGTAGTGGAAGGTGGAGCCCTGCGCAAACTTGATTGCGGGCGCCTCCTGGAAGGCTGCGGCCTTTGTGGCGGCGTACTGGTCGAGGTAGAAGGCGCCCGCCTGACCGAGACAGCGCCGGTGAGGTGCGCGCAGAGGGCGTGAGGAGTGTGCGGGTTTAGTCTCGTCTCTGCGGACACCTTTTCGACGAGCGGCCGCATCTTGGCCTCGTACGCCTCCTGCTGGCTGAACTTGTTCATCACGTCAAAGTTGAAGGCGGGCGACCGAAAGATGAGCAGCGGTGCCTGCATCCGATGCAGCGATAGCGACCGGCTCACAAACACGCACAGCAGGTGGAGAGGAGGGGGGAACGCGGCGCACCGCCGCCGAAGCGTTGCCGGAGGGCGGCGCGGCGCAAGCCGCCTGCCGCTGCATCGCCGTCGTCAGCCGGCGCAGCGAGCTCGGCCAGTCCTCGCGCGTTGGCTCGTACTTGCCGAACTGCGACCCGAAGACGACCGCGTGTGCCCCTAGTCGGGGAAGGGTCCGGGGAAACTTCAAGACTCCTCCGGGAGGCGAGACGCGGCGGCGGCGTTGCGCGCGCCGTAGCCGACCGAGGCGGGGCCCCACACGCGGAAGGTCTCGTCGAAAAGTGTCCCGTCCCAGTGGCCGTCGTACAGGTAGAGGAGCGAGGCGGAGGGCCGGCCCTCGGGGATCCACGCCTGTGCAAAGGGGGGAAGCGGCGGTGAGAGCGGAGGCGGCGAGGGGAGCAATCGCGAGCGATCATTCCGTGTTGCAGTGAAGTGAGAGGGAGCAGTGTGTGTGGACAGACGGTGCCGCAGGGACAGGGCAGCAGCGGCAAGGCCCTCTCGCCTTGGCGGCGGCGAGGGTCTGCTGCCACGTCGCCGCCGGACAGAGCAACGCCGTCGCGCGGCACGAGAAAGCCTGGTCGAGCGGCTCCTTGCACGGGCGGTTACCCTGGCACCGGCCCCGGCCCGGCCAGCAGTCGTCGTACCACGGCGAGACGACCGGAGGCCTAAGAAGGGGCGCAACAACGGGGGTGCGGCAGTCGAAGAGTGCGGCGGCCACTCACCGCTCGCTGCGTCGCCTGCCCGGACTCAGCCCGTCGCTCAGTAGCTTGTGCCGCTCCCGCGGCTGCGGGAGATCGCGCGCCATCAGCGCGCGCGCAAAGTGGCGCGCGCGCTCGACAAAGGAGGAAGAGCCGCGCGGCAGCGGCGCGCACATGTGCTTCCCGAGGCACTCTGGGTGGCGGTGGCACGGCGCGAGCTGGCCGGTGCACTCGCACGTCTGGGTGGGGCGGCCGGAGAGGCGGCTGAGGGTCTGGCGTGGAGGCCGCAAGAGGCAGTGGTTAGGATCTCGGTCTAGCGTGGGGCGGATATGCGGTGTCTCGGAAAGTCCTCGGAAAGTCTGTCGGAGGCGTCTCGGAAGCGTCTCGGAAGTCTCCCGCTGGAGTCGCGCGCCGTGTCCTCGGATGTCCTCGGAGAGCGGCCATATCTCGCCACATCTCCCCATATCTCCGCACATCTCCCCAGATCTCCCCAGATCTCCCCCTATCTCGCCTTGTCTTCGCAAAAGCCGTTGAAGGTCTCCCTCTCGCCGTGGTAGGTGGGGAAGTAGACCCGCACCGACACCGCCTCCTCCGTGTCGCTCAGCCACGCGTGCACGCTCACGTTCTGCCGCCACTCGGCGCTGCCCTCCCCAAAGGTCCACTCGAGCTGCGACTTGACCTGCCGTACTACTCGACCGACCAACCGCACGCGCCGCCCGCCGCCGCGGCCGCTCCCCGCCGCCCGCAACCGCTCCGGCGGCCCCGAGATGCCGCCCTCGAAGGCGCCCGCCCAGTTCAGGTAGGCGCCGCTGCGGTCTCCGCACCGGCCCGCGCCGCCGCCAGCAGCGCCGCCCCCGCCGCCAGCAGCGCCGCCACCGGCAGCGGCGGCGTTGGCGGTAGGGGCGGCGGCGGCGGGGCCTCGCAGCGCCTGGATCGTCTCGCTGCGGAGGGCGAGATCGAAACTGACGAGGGGGCGCCACTCACGCGTCGCAAACCTGCAGGGTGCACACGCCAACATCAGGGCGGGAAAGACGGTCTTGTGCCGCGTCTTCAGAGCACCGCGTGAACGCGAGGGGCTACGAATACAGCGGGATCCAGCCGAATACCGTCGAATACAGCGGACTGTGTGTCATCTCGCGTGCTAGTTGGAATACAAGAATACGTCTTCCGCTCCTAGCGTCGCAAACTTGGAGCGCGCCCACTTGCCGTCGAGACTCTCCTGGTGTCCTCCTGGCGTCTCACCTGGCGTCGACCTGCAAGAGGGGGGAGAGCCACAGCGAGGGTGTCTGTGGGGCCGGGCCGAGAGAAGGAGAGAGATGGGGAGAGAGGGGGAGATGTGAGGAGAGATGGGGAGAGTTTGAGGTCCGTGGGGACGGGCCACTGCTATCGACGCACAAGCTACTGCATCTCGCGCGCCACTGCGAGAACCGCCCCGCGTTGAAGTTTGAGAAGGCGTCGGAGAGGGCGCAGAGCCGGTGCGGCAGCGAGAAGCGGTGCTCGCCTGCGGGCCAGTCACCATGTTTGGGCTGTGGAGAAGGTTCGGGGACGCGACTCTGGTGGCGGCGGGGTGAGCGGCGGCGCTATTGGCTCCTCTCGGCTCCTCTCGGCTCCTCTCGGCTCCTCTCGGCTCCTCTCGGCTCCTCTCGGCTCCTCTCGGCTCCTCTCGGCTCCTCTCGGCTCCTCTCGGCTCCTCTCGGCTCCTCTCGATGGGTAATCTCGGGACAATCTCGTGATAATCTCGCCGGTGGACAGGTCAACAGTGACAAGAGATGTGGGGAGATGTGGGGAGATGTGGGGAGATCTCGCCGGTGGTCAGGTCGATGGTGACGAGCTGCGCGGAGTGGTAGCCGGAGCTTGCGCCTGAGAGGCGGCGGAGGAGGCGCCCGTGGACAGCCGCGCGCGCGAGGGGGAAGGGGGATGGGTTGTGAAAATGGGTCGGCAGCGAAACTCGCGAGAGGCGTTCGCGGCGCACCGTCCAAATTCGACTTCGAGGCCACGTCCCAGATCCACGACTCTTCGACGCGGAATCGCTGACGCGGAAACTCGTTGTGCCACGACGCTCCGCGGCCGGCGCGCGATGCCGTGTTGAGCCCGCTCGCCTTCCCTCCAAGCTCAAGCGTCTCCAACTTTCGGTCCGCGCTCTGCCGGTGCGCGTGCGGCCCCGCAAGCAAGTCAAGCACCGTGTACCTACGCCCGCAATACCAGTAGGGGCGGGTGAAACGTACAGAGGCAGCCTCCTTGTCCGCCGCCGCGCGCGCACATCTGCCGCCGCGTCACCGAGTTGCCCACGAACAGCAAGTCGCGCCCCGAAAGCAAGCAGCGCGCCTCCGCGGTACCGATCCAGCGGCGGCCGCAGCCGCTGTCGCCGCCGAAGTCGGAGGGCCCACGATCGGTCCACGCCGCCGCGCCCGCCGAGCGCGCGCAGCCACGCCTAGTGCTCGAGCTCCTCGCGATGGTGAGGCGGGCTAGCCGGTGATGGGCCGGCGTCATCGGCCGACGGCGCGCGTCAGAGTGCCGAGCGAGCCGAGGGAGGCTGCGAGAGGGATGGGCCGGCACTGGCCGCGCGGCGAGACGGGAGGCGGCTGGGCCCACAGGTGCGATCGCAGGAGCACCTCGAGCGGGCCCGAGGGCGGGCTCCGCTCCTGCAGGCACTGCACCATCCTCGCCATCTCCTGAACCTCCATCTGATCCCGCATGATGGGACATGGACCGGCGGCCAACGCGCTGCCGCCGCCGCCGCCGCCGCCACCTCCACCGCCGCACGCGCGGCCACGGCCGCGACAGCGACCGCCGTGCTGCCTGCCGCCGCGCCCGCGGCCGTGTCCCTTGCCGCGCAGCCGCTCGAGCGGCCCAAAGCGGAACTGGCCGGCTGCTCGGCTGCCGGGCGAGTCGCAGCTGTGGTGCCAGCTGCACTGCTTGAGCTGCTGCGACAGCGAGATGTACCGGCAGCGGTCGCACGCGAGGCACTTCTCGACGCACGCGGTGGTTGCGAGGATGAGCTGGCGCGCAGCGCTAGCCCGGATCCGCCAAGCGCCGTTGGAGCCGCTGAGGCAGTCGCCGGGGTCGTCGGCGTCGGTGACGGCGCAGTACCCGTCCGCGGCCGTGGAGAGCCACCGCGAGGTTGGATCGCCCGGCATATACTTTGCCTCGTTTGTTTTTCTTTTTTAAATTGGCTAAAGAAAACAGGCTATCGCCGCCGTTTCCAACCTTTCCACACGGAGGCTCACTGGCCTCTGAGAGAGACGTCAGGGACACCTGGCTGGAACAGAGCTAACGAGCGGGCTCGGGGGATGGCGGAGGCGCTGACGGTGGCTGCACTAGACGTGTTGGGGCCAAGCCACGGAGCGACTCACAGGACTTTGGCAGGTGTCAGGCGGGGCGGCACCACAGACATGGAAAGAGAGCAGCCAGGCCAGTGCAGGGATAGCAGACATGGTCATGGAAAGAGCAACACATGGAAAGAGCAGACCGGACTATCCAGGAGACAAAGACCGGGGACTGCGCAGCACGCACGATCCATACCTTGGTCTGCTCACCGAGCGACTCGGGGGAGCAAACGGTGGATGGCGCGCTTGGTGCGGTGCGCGCTCTCAGAGCAGCAGCCGCTTTTTCTTCATGTAGTCGTCGTCGTCGTCCTCGTCGTCCTCTTCGTCGTCGTCGTCTTCGTCGTCGCCGTCGTCGTCGTCGTCGTCGCCGCCGCCGGTGACGGTCTGGCAGCCCTCGAACTCGTAGAGGGAGAGCGTGCCGCTCCACGAGCCGCTGAAGAGGATGCCGGCATTGCCGGTCGGCGACTTTTCCGCGGTGAGGAAGGTGATCGACTCAGGGTCCACCTGCAGGGAGGCGCGAGTGGCACCCGTGTCGCTCGGGTCGCACTCGGCTGGCGATGGCGCAGCGGTCGAGACTCTCGGTGCCAGCGCACCTCGCCGAGGGTGCGGTCCGCGTAGGCGACGCTGGGGTTCTTCGTCTGCGAGGCGGGCGAGAGGTGCTGCACAAAGAGCAGCTGTGTGTTTTGGGGGTCGGACACGTCGAAGACGAAGGCCGTGCCCTGCGGATGGGGGAAAGGGGGTCATGACATCGCAGGTTGAGGATGGGAGTTCCCCCCCCCTCCACCCCTTGTCTTGGGCGTGACTGAGCGTCTCGCAAGCGGCTCAGTCTCTGACCTGCTTCTCGGTCGCGGTGACCATGATCGTCATGCCGCATGCCTCTCCGACGACGACCGCCTAGCGGCGTCACGTGCACAGGGCTGCCTTTGCGAGCGGCAGCGTGGGGGCAGGGAGAGGGGCGAGCCTCCCAGTGGGAGGTGTGTGTGGGCATGGCCTCGCGCCTCCGGCCCGGCGCCATCCTTGAGCGAGCGCTCGTCGACCGTCTTGCCGAGCGGGCAGGCGCAGTAGTTCTCGTCGCATCCGGGGCCCTGTGAGTGGAGTGGTGAGGAGGGAGAGGGGGGGGGGGGGAGGGGGGGGGGGGAATGCCGTGTGGGGATGAGTCGTGGGGCGGGCGGGAAGTGGACGCGCGGCAGGCGGGACGACCCTGGTCACGGCGGCGTCGTTCACGTCGCAGCCGTCCTCCGTGATGGGGGAGAAGGCGTTGAGCTTCCAGATGTCCTCTTGCAGCTTGTTGCAGGTGTCGCAGTCGCCAGTCACGAGGTAGGGCGGGACGGTGCTGACCTTGCCGGGGCCCTCGAGGTTGAAGCGCGCGCCGACGTTGCCGTCCGCGTCCCTCACCATGGAGAACTCCTCATCGGCCACGGTGTTATGCGCCCACGGGTACTTGGCGCACTGCTCAGTCTCGAGAATGGAGCCCGAGTCCCAGACCTGAAGGGCACAGGGAGCAGGCGCTTCGTCTGCTGCACGTGCGGCGATGGATACAGCGCTGTGTGGTGGCAGCAGGGCGGACATGCGTGTGTGCATGGCGGAGGGGGGGCAGAGCTTGAGAGGGGTAGTCACCAGGCTCATGTCAGACGCCTTCCAGATGGACAGGCCGCGGCCGCCGAAGCCAACCGTGGCTTTGTACACTGGCGCCGCCGGGGTGGAGTAGTCGACAGCGCTCGAGCCGATCGTGATGCGCATCTTGGTGCCGTCAAAGTTGGTGCAGGCGTCGGTGCCAACTTGAGCATTTAAGAAGGAAAACTCAGCGAAGTCGCTCTCGAAGTCGGGTGTCGAGGAGCAGCTCATCACATCCTTGAACTTTTGCTTCTCCTCGAAGTCGCCGTACTCCTTGTCATCCCCCTCGTTGGCCGTGATGATGTAGTCTTGGCCGCCGGCGCTGTACACGGCGATGGAGTCGGGCATCCGCATCGCCTTGAAGCCTGGGAGGCAGGGACAGGCGTGGTTCCGGAGGCTGGGGGGCGATAGTGCCCTGGCCGCTGCAGGCCTGGCTGAACGCGAG